GTACTGATGTGTGCTCTGTTATTAAGTGTGTACAAATAAAATCACGCCCTGAATTATTTTGTTGTTGTTGTTTTTCTTAGCACAAAACAAGCAAAATTTGAGCAACAAATTCTCAGCAGCTAATGGCAAAGATCGCTCCAATACCTTTACTGTTGCCCTCTCTAGAAGTACATCTGCCTTTTTCCATGAATATCGATTCAGCAAGTCTATCCCTGAAGCTTGATCTGTGAGCTGGAAGAAAAACTGCCTTCACTATCTGTCCTGAGTCAGAAAAGGTCTTTTGATTGCTCTGTAAATATTGATAGGGAGATGGTAGGAAAACAGCAGTGTCAGTCTTGAGAGCAGCTCGGCAGAGAAGGACCTGGGGGTCCTGATGGACGAGAGACTGAACATGAGCCGGCAGTGCGCTCTGGCAGCTCGAAAGGCAAATGGGATCCTGGGCTCCATCAGGAGAGGGGTGGTCAGCAGGGACAGGGAGGTGATTGTCCTTCTCTACTCGGCTCTTGTGAGGCCCCATCTGGAGTACTGTGTCCAGGTGTGGAGCCCTCAGTACAAGAAAGACATTGAGATTTTGGAAAGGGTCCAGAGGAGGGCAACTAAGATGATCAGGGGGCTGGAGCACCTCCCCTATGAGGACAGGCTGAGGGAATTGGGCTTGTTCAGCCTGGAGAAGAGAAGGCTGCGGGGTGACCTCATTGCAGCCTATCAATACCTGAAGGGAACCTACACCCAGGAGGGGAGTAAACTCTTCAAAAGGGCTGACAACAGCAGGACTAGGGGAAATGGATCCAAGTTGAAGGAGGGAAGATTTAGGTTGGATGTTAGGGGGAAGTTCTTTACAAGGAGAGTGGTTAGGCCCTGGAACGGGCTGCCCAGGGAGGTTGTGGATGCCCCGTCCTTGGACGTGTTCAAGGCCAGGTTGGACGGGGTCCTGGGCAACCTGATCTGAATGTGTGTGTTTGGTGGCCCTGCTAGGCAGGAGGGTTGGAACTACATGATCCTTGAGGTCCCTTCCAACCCGGGTGATTCTGTGATTCTGTGTGATTCTGTCAGTGGTGTGAGGTTGACTAATTAAAGTGCATCTTCCCAAGTTTTTGTCGGGAACAATAATACTGCTGTGCATCTCTACAGTTTCCATTTCTCTTTCAATTTATATGCTTTTTACAGTTCAGAGCTTGAAGTCCTCAAGTAACAAGTCCTTGAACTAAGAGGAAACTTAATTTCTCTCTCAAATATATACCTGCAGAGGCAGCAAACTGGAGAAGAGCATAGTGCATCCCAAAGGGCTTTCAGCAAACTTAATTCTGGAATATTTTTTATACTGAAAGTGTTCATTTTTATCTTGACTAGGTGTTCATAAATAGAGCACAAGCATTTTCAGGCCAAAAGGCAATTTGTTTTCTATTGCAGCAGGAAGGGAATCGTGGGGCACCCAAAAACTCAGCAATGAGGGAGTATGGCTGGGCAGGCCTGAAACCTTTGAGTGTGGAATTTGTTTCTTCCCAGCAAGAAAGTCCAAGAGTAGGTTGGTGTCTGTTCTGCCTATGTCTCTCTGTGGTCAAAACATGTAGCAGAGTCCTTTGTAGACCTCAAGGACCTTGTGAAAAATTATATTTGTTTCCCTGAAAACCCTGGTTTCAAAAACTTGTCACCTTTTGAAAAAAACAGCTCCTATCCAGGTGTAGTTACTATCACTTTTTCAAATAGCTGCTTTTCTTGCTACCTATCAAAGTGAAACACAATGTGGAGCCACCTACAAACCGCATTTTGTGTCAGCCAAATTGCAGGAGGTAATTGAGTATGTCATAAATGATGTCTCAGAGTACTTCAGTGCATTACTGAACCACATTCAGTAGCGTGACTTGGGTTTTTCTAATTCAAGAATCAAAGCTTCAGCTTGCTCCTATCTGCCTTATTGCTGAGCACCAGACAGAGCATGTTTTGCTTCCCATGATTCAAAATTTAAGGGGAAAATAATTCGGAGAGAAAATATAGCAGTATAAGAAGCCTTTGGGGAAAGAAAGGAGCCATTAATGAAGGAGAAATATTCTCCATGTCTTCAGAGAAGATGGCAGTGTTGCCGTTCCCTTCCCTCTCAGGCTTCCTGCATCATTCAGGACCTGCTGTGGGGCTGATGGGGCTGCTCTAGCAAAGAGGCTCCTTCAGGCTTGGAAAGATGAGATGTGACTTCCACAGGAGCTGAGCAGGGCGAGCCACAGGTGCTCCTGTGGAAGACTCTGAACATACAATCTGCTCTTGGATGTTGCTGATGGTTGTTTTTAATGGCAACAGAACTATCAGCTGCTTTTATCTCCCTGAGTCCTCATACCCATCTGGAGCAGGGATGGTACCTGCCCCCTCACTTCTCAGGCCTGTTTGGAGATATCATTAACCTTAGCATCCACCAAGTGCCAGTCACTGAAGCAATAAGTGCCAAAAAAATGCCCAGGAGGAAACCAATCACCCCAATGGGGTTGGAAGTGGGTTTGGAGGGACCTTTGGAGCCCTGGGACTATGGCAAGAGAGAGTGCAGAAGGTTGCGAGATGTTAGCCTGTTGCAGAGTATGGACAACGACTGTGATTTGAATGGAAAAGGAATGGTGTGCCCAGAAAATTGGAAAAGGTGCTTTGGGAACTTGCCTTCTTAAAACCTCATGAATACTTTTATTTTGTTTTTCATGCATGAAATGTTGCTAAATTTGATGTGTAGATGAAACAATGGTGTTTCTTTTTGTTAGTCTCCAGCTTGGAAACATTTGGACTCCCTCTCTCTTCCTCGCACAAAACTGTCTCATCCAGAGCAGGCATAAATATTTTTATCAAGCTTAAATTGCTTGGTCTGAAGTTGAAAGCAAGTGAAGAGAGCAGCTTTTGTTATATGTGGAGGACTGGACCGCCCTAGCAGGCAGTGCTACTGGTTTCACCTGTATGAATTAGTCTTCCCATGTTAGCCAGGAAAGCTGTCTCTGATGAGATGTGGGAATGCTCTGCCTGTGCCACTCTTAGAGCTGACAAGGGCAGGTTCCACTGACCTTGGTCGCTGAGCCTCATTAACCTTCAGCCTGAACTGGACTTCATGTTAGCCTTCATTTTCCAGTGTAAACTGCTATAGCAGTTTTGATCAGAACTTCCTCAGTTTTGAGGCTGAAAACAGATGTCTCTTGCAAATTCATGCTATCCTGAAGATGCTCTCATTTCCAGTTTTCATCCTGATTTGCCTCCAGACGTTGATGCCTGTGCAGCTTACTCGGGAATGATGTAGTGTACATGCTTCCTATTCTAGTCCTGCAAAATCAGCGGAGATATCCTAGACTTTTCAGTGCAATATAAAATGAATTCAGTCAAGATGGCCAGCACTGGGCTGAAGAATTGCTGGGCTGGTTCCATCTGCTTTCCAGGTAGCCTCTGGAAGTAGTGTGGCCATGTCCAGCTGGGCATGAGAGAGTTTTGAAGGGTGCAAGAACATGAAAACAAAGCCAGCTTCTTTCAGCCGTACACAATCGAGAACTATTATAGTAACATAAAACATCTAAACAGGATTGGAGCAAGGCAAAGGAGCGATGTTGTACTGGTCAAGACTGCTGCAATGGCTCCTTGCTTCTGGCTGTGTTATTTTTAAGCTTGGAAAGCTTATATAGCCTGCAAATGCACAGCACTAAGGAAAGGATCTCACCAGGGCTTCCTGCCCTGCCCCAGCAACCCGATAAAGCCTTTTGCAATGCAGGGTGAGTCCAGTTTATTTTTAAAATGTGGCCAGACATGGAGCTCACAGAATAACTGGAACATCCAGCCTTGGGCATTAATTCAGCTTTAATTCATTGTCTGATGATTTGAAGAGTTAATATAAATGTAAAAGGGACAAGAAAGGCCAGCAAACTATCTTCAATGCAAAGTCTGTGTAAGGGTGTGCATCTGTGTACGTACAGAGGATCTAAAAAAAGGATTGTTAGTAAATGTTACACTGGGAGGGGCACTTCACGTTATCCTGTGCACCGTGTGAATTTTCTTTCTGCTTGGACAATGCTACTCAACCCTCCTTTGCCTTGTTATTTGAGTCCCAGCCCTCTTATAAGCAAAGATAATCACATGCCAGAGGATGTAGTCCTGATGCTCACAGTAAGGGCACTTAGGTTTCTGCCACTAAGCCCTGAAGTTTGTTATGCACTAACAATAACAAAGCCCACTGGAATAGATCTGAGTTTGTTGCATGCTCTGTGAAGACATGAATGAGACTGTCAGAGATGTTCTCCTCCTTGCCTAGGGTCTGGGACAGCAGGATTAATAGTGATTAATAACAAACACCAAAAGTAAACAACCTGATACTTTTAAAACCACTGGGTTAAAGGAAATCCTTTCCAGTTTAAAAATGTTTTTCCACGTACCACAGTCATGAGGCATTTTGGGGACTGGGGGGATTTGCCACAGGCTGATCCTAACTCTGTCTGTAGATCCTGCTTGGGAAAACAAAACCATGCTGGCTTGTTCCCACCCAGGTGCACACAACCAGCACTGGTAGTGAAGATTGCTCTGACTCAACTGGCTGTGTGGATCCCCAGATGTGATTCACATGGAAGGTAGCCAGAATAGCTTGCCTATGCCACTGCCACATCTGCCTTTCTTCAACTCTAGCCTTATGGTGAGGAAAGTAATAATCATCTCCAGCCCTGTTTTTTTTTTATATCTGGGGAGGTCCTGCCACAGTACCCCAGCAGCTTTGCAGTGGGTTGACAGTAGTGAATGGCTTCATCGTTGTGTTTTTCAAAGCTGATATAATGAGAAGGATCCTTTCATCCTTACCATCCACAAATAAAGTTTGATAAAGTCTCTTTGAGAAGCTTAGTTTCTAACCTGTAGAAACAGGAATGGGCTTAGGAACCCAAGCACTTTGTATAGGGTTAGAAAGGATGCTGTATCTTTTATTCACGAGGGGATTTTTAACTTTTTCTTCCTGAGAGAATATACCCTGAATCATGGGTCATTCTACCTCTTTTCTCTTTCAGTGAAGGAACTGCCATGCCTGTGGGAATCTTCCGAGTGTGCCTAGTGGTAATTACAGCTATTGTCAACCACCCACTCCTCTTCCCTAAAGAGAATGGCACTATCCTCGAAAATACAGAGGAAATCATCCAGAAGATGAAGGAGCGGGAAGAGATCCTTCGGCTGGAGAAGTTGCGCTTGGAACGGGAAATTGAAGGTCAGGAAGCTGCACAGAAGGTTCTGGAAAAAGCGGCAAAAGTAGAGGAGGATGTCAAAGAGGAAAAGGTCCAATGGGATATGTGGACTGCTCTTTCCATGGTCATTTTCCTATTGATCGAGCTCTGGAGGCAGGATTTCCAGGAGGGGAATTGGCAGGACACGGGAGCAGACGAGGATGACATGGCTGTCCTGGGGAAAGCATTTAAAGGGGTGGCCTTCCCTGACAAGGCCATCTTAGCCAGCTTCTATGAGAAGCGTATCCTGGGTACCACTGGAGACATGGCCAGGATGCGGGAGATGGTGGAAGGCTTCGCAGATGACCTGCTGGAGGCCTTGAGGAGTGTTTGTAACCGGGATGCTGACATGGAAGTGGAGGACTGCATGGGTGTGGGGAGCATGTATGAGAATTGGAGAGTGCGTAAACCTTTTGTCTGTGATCTGATAGTGCCTTTTGCACCCCCAGAGCCATATTGTTTCCGATCTCAGATATGGTGCTCTGGCGATTCTTTTCCCCCAGATGAACAAGGATATGGCACTATCAAGGTATGCAGGGCAGATGAGGATGAGATAGGTTGCATCTGTGACAAGACTAAGCTGGGAGAAGATATGCTGTGCCTCCTCCATAGCCAAGGTAATGCTACCAGACTCAGCAGTGAAATGGAAGACCTCCTGTGCTTCAAAAATACGCAATATCTTGATGCTGACCAAGTCATGAAGTGGTTCCAGATTGCAGTCACCAAGGCCTGGAACAAAATTTCACACAAGTATGAATTTGACCTGTCTTTTAGCCTCTTGGACTCCCCAGGAGCCCTGAAGATAAAATTTAAATCGGGGAAATCAGTTGCCTTCAACCTCACCCCTGTGGTGCAGTACGAGAACTCTGATGTTTACTTCATCTCTCATTTCCCTCGGAACTGCCTAGCAGCAGACCTCCCCTCCAGCACTCACTGGTTTCTCACCTTTGCAGTGTATGAGAGGAGGTTCATCCAGATGATCTCCAAAATGCTGCCTGCCAATGCCTGCCATGTCAGCTGCCTTCAGATCCTCTCCTTCCTCCATGGGAAGCAGTGCAGCCTCACAGGTCCAAGTGGGCTCACCAACTACCACCTGAAGACAGTGTTGCTGCATCTGCTGCAGACACGTCCAAATCAAGACTGGGCCCCAGAGAAGTTGGAGGCCCGTCTACAGGACATGCTGAAATTCCTGGAGAAATGTCTGCAGGAGAAGAAGCTCTACCACTTCTTCATTGGCAATGGGAAGGTACCAGCTGAGCTGGGCTTCCCCATCATATTCCAGAGGGCTGAGCCCCTCAACCTTTTCCGTCCCTTTGTTCTACACAGGGATGTTTACAGAAAGACAGTTGACACATTCCATGAGATGCTCAGGAACACATCTGCACTGATAAGTGAGTACATGGTGCACATTCCCCATGTCCACACCAATGGGATCCAAAAGGAATCTGTTTAACCAAAGCCAGCAGGAAAACACTTGTTCCTCTAAGCACAAATCCAGAGTGCAGCTTTCCAAAGCCTTATGGAAACAACTGACTTTGCCATTGCAGTTTGTTGTCTGCAGCTGAACCATGTCTATGTCATGGTTTCTGCAATAAGGAAGAAGGGATGGGGGCAGAACAGAGAGAAACTGGAAGAGATGCTATAAAAGTAAGTTTCTGCTCCACAATTGGGCTGGCAGGGTTTTATGCAGCTAAGAATATATTTTTCTACTGTGCCTCAGCCATGCTACAGTGGTGATGAGCAATGAACATGGCTAATTTATTCTGGTGCCTTCAAAGCGGTGGCGGTCTGCTTGCAGACAGGACAGTGGGAGCTGTGAGACCTATGGGAGGTGCAACATGAGCCTCGGCTGGGAAGGAGAGTCACTACTCAGGTCACGCACAGTTCTAGACTGGATGGAGATCTTAAGCCCAGCACAGCTCTTTAATTGAAAGGGATCAGTGGGTTTAAAAAGTGCATTTTGATAGGACTTGCAGCACTAATTTAAACAGTCCTGTCCATCAAAAACACTCCTGTGCTCCAGATATTTTTTCCCTTGGAGGAATATAACGGAGCAGTCCGCAGGATCAGTGTCTTGAGACCATTTCATTTTCCATTTTCTTCAAAGTAGCACAATGAGTGGATTTTATTCTTGGCTGTTTTCCATGGATGAATGGCCAGGAGCCTTATTTACGTCATTTAAGAGAGAAATGCTGTTACTGGTTCTGGCTTTTGGTTTATTTGTTTGCTTTCCTTATCTCCAAGCAGCAAGTCTGAAAACTAGCAAAGAGAAATGATTGCTGCAGGGTTTGCTTTTACTAAAGAGGAAACTCCTCAAAATTATTCTGTAATAAGCCCGATCTCAGGAGTCTGATACCAGGAGGAAACTCACTATCCAAATGAGAGAGCTCTCAGCGTGGTTTTAGTGAGGCCAGGACAGCAAGATGGCTCTGAATTAGGAGGAGAGTTGCAGGAGGTGTACATGAGGCAGTGTGGCACTGCTCTCTGCAGCTCTCTTGTGGTGTGTCATTCCTTTCTGCTGCCAGGTACCCAAGTAAAAGCTGCCTGTTTTTTGACTCATTATCAGGTCTCCTCAGTCCATCTCAAGGCTGCTACTTTGATGATGTTTACTCTTGGGAACCACAGGTAGCAAACTATAAATTTTTGTATCCTCTCTCCTTTTTTCCTTGTACAAACCATTTCTCCACTTCCTTCATGTCTGCTTATGTCTGTACCCCCACCACTGAGGGACATTTTCTACACTAAAGCAAAGCAAACTGCAACACTCATTTCCAGAGGCCTGCAGGGAGGTCGTGCTCAAGTAGTTGTGGTCTGAGTTACTTCTAAAATTGTCCTTAGCCAAGTGAGAGAGAAATGAGTATTTCTATGTCGTTTCCTGTCAGGCATCTAAATTTAGCCTATCCAAAGAACAGAAACAAATTTGTGACCCAGGTCTCTGAGGAAATGACACACAGGGTTGGAAAATAACTTTTATGTAAGGTTGAGCAAGGGAAGGTTGAGTAGAAAAGTCTATTTAACGGGATAATCAAACTTCTCTCTTGAAATGGAGGAACAAGGCTGTGTAACACCAGCCCTACAAGCATGTAAACAGGCCAAATCTTGCCTTTGCACACCTCAGAGCACTGCTGCTTAGACTCAAAAGGAACCTAAACTGATAGGTGCACTGAATCTTTTGTCCTTCATTTTCTGCATGTGTGTGCACGTTTGCTTTTAAACTCAGACTCACCCTGAAGTGTTCCCATGGGGTTGCTTGAATCCAGGCTGGAGCTGAGCCAAGGTATTTATGGATCTGACTCCCTTGGAAGCAAATTCCTGGGCACAATTTGCCTACGCGTATGCAATATACTCATTTTGCCCCAAGCATCTTTTACGAGACTTGGTCTGCGCGTTCAGGCTACAAGGAAATGAGCTGTGCTACAATAAGTCTCAGGGCAGAGGTCTTTGCCAGCTATATATTAATATATATACTAAAGTTAGATACTTGTTCCATTTGGAGAGATGTGGGCAAACAGTATTTCTCTTGAGCAGACCTTTGTAGTGCTACACTGTGAAAAACATAATTTCCTGGACTGCCTCGTTTCTCTGTATTAAATCTTTCGCACGCCAGGTACAAGGCTTCTCAGTAAAAGGCCAAACTCAGATTTCATTAAAGAGATTTATTATGAGACAGTTCGGGTCCATCAGCTGTCAGCCAGTTAAGTGTCCTAAGATCTTTTAGTGCCACCCACATTTAGTGCTGCCTTGACTGACATCTTGCTGGGCATCCATAGGAAGCAGCTTTAAAGGGAGAGGGTGGAGGTGATGTTTTGTGATTTTAAGTGAGTAATGTTCTTTTAAAACAGTGTAAAGCACAAGTAACGAATGCACATCACTAGTAATAGCCTGATCTCCATGAGAGATCCTAAGGAAGAATAAACAGACCTCTTTCTTGCATCTCAGTGCTGTTCTTGCTATTTGCTGACCAGAAAAATTACGCAACTGAATTCCTGCTGCCTCTTCTGGTTTCCAGCCACTCCCTCCACCCTCAACTTGTGGTTTTAATACTTTATTATAGGTTCTGTCAAAGCAATGGAATTAGTAGTGCCTTGATAACAACCACTGATGTACAACATAGCCTCAGGAGCCGTTCACCTTTAGGAAATGTCTTGGTCTTAGTTATTGTTGCTGTTCAGGAGGCCAGTGTCCTCTAAGGGGAGCTGTTAGTTCACTCTTTATTACGTGCCAACCACAGAATATGACTTCATCCCTCTCTAGTTTGCTCTGCATACAGGTCTTACAGGCCTATAAAGATGGATTTCAGCAAAGGAAACCAAAACTTATTTGTTATTCAAGTAAAAGGATTTGGTGTTTGTTCACCATATGTTTTTAATGCAAAGCCTTTGCAATGTTTTCTCAGTGGTGAAGAAATGAGAATTTACTCACTTCTAACAGCTTAGCTGCTGGTCACTGAGTTCTTCTCATAGGATCCTATATGATAAATGGCTTTATTTATTAACTGTCTTTTTTGTAGGATTTTTCTTCCTGGGTGTAGTTCAGAAATACAATTGTAGTATGAATAGCCATCTTGGCAATGCAGATGAGGTGGGTAATAATATCATAACTTTCCACCTGAATTCTTCCTTGATTCGTGATGCTGTATTCAAACCGCTGCTTTTATAGCAGGACACTGTTAAATTTGTATAGATCTTCTCTTGCAGCTTTATTTATAATAAAGGAATTCTTGTACAAAACCTAAGTAAGTGTGGCCTGTTTTATTTCTAGTTTCCCAAAACATGTTTCTGAGATAGCAGAAGGATGGAGCTGGGAGACACCTGGTGGAATCCTAGCATAGTAAGCCCAGTAGCAAGACTCCCTGTGATGTTCTAATAATGTTGGAGATCAAGCCTTAAACATTTGGAGACATTTATGGCTGGAGATTTATCTAGTGCACTCAAACCCAACTACATGTACCAACTGAGCATTAACATGAAGTCACTGTTCCAGGAAGTCCTTCACTTCTTCATCAAAAGAGATAGAGAAAATGGCACAGAGCAATTAAGCATGCGGCAGTGGGAGGGGATCACTGACATACAGTTTCCAGGGCCACCACTCAGGTTTTTCAGTGCATACTGATGAGACTGAGTGAACCAAGAGGTTTGATCTTAATTCAAGTAGGCGTGCTCAAAAGCCAAGCTTACGTTGATCCATCGCTGTCTCTCTCTCCTTCAAATTTCATTTTCTTTTGAAACTAAAATTCCCAAGAGAAGCATCACCAACAAAGGATGCTTTTTTGACTTAAATTTGAAAGCAGCACCCTTTATTCCCAAATCCACCAATAGGCTCCTACTTACAGTCTTGGGCCAACCAGATGTAAGGAGTCAAAATTAAAATTTGTCTGTATTCTGCTCCTTTGCAGAAGTACCATAAAACTTAAAATTTCCAACCTAACATTCAGAGTAAAGTGCAATACAGGCCCAGCAGGTACAGCTGGGCTGAGCTGATCTCAGTAAACCACATTGTTAACAGCCTGCCTCATCTGTCACTTCATCTCTGAGGTGCACCAAGGGAGATACAATTCCTTGTATTGCTCCTACCTCTCAGTCTTGCTGTCTAGGCCTGTGCTGGGAACCAAGCTGCACACAAATCCACAGAGTGACAGTACTTAACTTGCTAACATCTTCCAGATCTCCTTCCTGTCAGCTTGCACCAGGCAGGGCAGAATAGCCTTGGGACAGTTCTTGTACCTGTAAGCACGAGTAATCTATAACAGCCTTATGCAGCTTCTGTTGCACACACGCTCCCATTGGGCAGAGGTATTTTGCACTGTCACTGTAATATTCCTGGTGATTCAGTTCTCCTTTGGAGCCATGGGTGTGTTAATACAGCATATCAGTAATACAAAGCTCCAGTAAGGCAAAGCTTCTGTATACAAAGATAATTAAAACTAAGGTGTGTCCACATGCACACCCCACACTGACTTTCTCCTGCCAGAACCACACCTGGAATAGCTTTGAAGGGAAAGTTTTGATCCAGAGCATGAACACACTGGCATAACACAACCAAGATACATAAAGCATACAGAGAGGAACTGAGAGGCGTCAAGTCTGTGAGTTTGATACAACCAGAGCATTTTCTTATAAGGAGAACTTTATAAGGAGAACTAGCTGATTATACCTGCTTAGCAATTATGAGTAGAGGACAGACCATACTTTTGAAACTCAAGGTCTGTGATGCATGTACAGGAAACAACAGTCACAGTTTGTGAATATGCCCTCTACTCTTGTTAAGAGCTTCCTTCTGATGATGAAGTGACAGCAGGAAAGGTACAAAAGCATCATTTGAGAAAATAGGACCATACACACAAAGGACAATATTGAGCTATAATAGCACACTTGGTTTTCATCAGTTCCTCAGCTCGTCTCAAGCAGACAACTTTGTAATCCTTTTTCCCCAGCTGTCTCATGTCTTTGGTGGGAACACCTGAGAGGGTCATGTAAATGGTTTGCAGTTTTCAGGAAGCACTGTATCCTCTCTGTTCAGCACTGCTTTTCTGGGCTCCATTTTCCCTGGAGAGATGGCTTTTTCCATCAGTGTTGCCAAGAAACTGTTGGTTCTAAGAAACAAACCTGTAGCATTGTGTCTCAGACTGCGGTCTACACATCATGAGATGGCTGTGAACAGTGCAGTAAACATTCTGTACATCAGTCCCTTAATAAAAGCTGCTTTTTAACATTCTCCTCAACTCAGATACAACAGTACTGCTCACTGCTAAGTAGCATTCACATTCCACCAGAGGCACAGCTAAATCTTACTGACAAATTTTATAATCCCTTTCTTAGCAAATCAGCAAAATTTGCTTTAGGAGAAAAAAAATCCAAATAACATCACATGGCACTAATTATTTACTTAGATAAAAAAAAAAAACCAACTAATGCCACCTCTGCTGACTTTAGACCTGCTGTAGAACACGCTGCTTCTAATATATGGTAGGAACTGGGAATGATTTAATAAAGTGGCATCTGTTCTCATGACTGTAAAGAGACTGAATTTTCATCAGCCCTTCCCAAGTGAAACCACTGTCCAGGGAACAGAGTAATGAAAAAAAAAGTAGAGAAGAAATTAAAAAGAAAACCATAAAAAGACTAATAATAAAGAAAGAAGATGAGAAACAGGCAGTTCTCAGATCTTAACAACACAGCAACATTAGAAATGCCATGACAGTGGAAAATCAGAGAGAACAGGTCCAGAAGATGTACTAATGTGCCAACACATGCCTAGCACTTGCTCTCACACACAGCTATAAGCATAACAGCTATTAAATGAAGCATGACAAGAAACTGTGATTTCCTTTTCCCTTAATTTTTCTTTTTCTTCTTTTTTTTTTTTTTTGCCTATTCATGAATTTATTTTTTTTTCTTCTTTTTTTTTACATTGTGCTGAAACCAATTATGTTTGGTGGCACAACAAGGAATGATTAAAAAAAGTCATCATTGTTTTGAAAAAACAAAAGTACCACCAGCAACCTTCAAGAGCAAACTATGAAGTACAAGATGAGTAAATACATCATTGGCTATACAATCTGATCCAAAGAAGATCTGAAGGGGACAACTAATCAGGGGCAGAGCTATCAATCTGCTTGATCTTTGTTCATTGGCTTCATCTTCTTCTGTTGACCAAAACAGACAACAGCATTTTCTTCTCGGGCTGTTTAAAATAATAATGTATTTTTTACACTCATACACAGTGAAAGGAGAGAGCCAGTCCATTTCACCTAACCTTTTTCTTTCTTTTGCAGACTATGCCCAAGTGTTGCATATTCATTACCACATCAAAAACACTTTGCCTGAGGTCTATATTTCCTGATGTGCTGTAATGGGTTCAGGACCCCAGCTGTCTACCAGGAGATTTAGAGCACTGATATTTAATAGTAAATTATAAGGTAGAATAATTCATGTTACATTTTCTTGCTGAAGTAGCATATTTATAATGGTATACTCTAGAGCCACTAAACAAAGATGAGAACACATCATTTCTGTTTGCACAACATAGTCTCCTAATTACTGTGGCCTGCCCTTAGCCACTTATATTTATGGATGCCAGTTCTGTTCTTAACCCATTGGTGGATCTCACTTAAGTCACATCTCCCACTATCTCCCAGTAAAACAGAGGAACAAACTGCAATATATATTACCCAGCATGTTTATGGAAGCCAATTTTCAGCACACTTTACTAACTTCCAAACTAAAGCTTTGACAAGTTTTAAATAGAAGCAGAGCAACTAACAATACCAGGATGCTCTATAGTTAGTAATTCGTCAAAGTTTGCTGCTGAAATCCCACCGTATCATTTCGGGGAAAATGGCTTCAAGCACAAACCCTGCTATCATCTGATAAAACACCTATAGACCCACGTTTCGACACCTCACAGCATCACGATTCCTCCGGGTTCTCTAATGACAATCTACTGCAACACAGCATCAGATCAGGACTAGGAGACTTGTAAAGTATATCAGCATTCTGGTAGGAAACAGCAGACTAACCTATTTTTCTCCAAGTAATGCCAGATGTATTTAAAAGGCACAGATAAAACCAAGAGCAAAACCTGCATAGTGAATTAAAACTAGTAAGAGCATAAACGCTAATAGATGCAAACTCACATGCTCTGTAAGCTGGTAGGAAGCATCTTTATTAGAGGAGTTCCTACTAATTCTTCTTCAACTCCATCTTTCATTTCTGCTTTCCCACTTAAGTTACACAAGCATGCACCTCCTCAGAGTTACTATGTGGGTGTAAGATGTGATATTAAAAAATAATAATAAATCACAGAATGGTCTGGGTTGAAAAGAACCTTAAAGATCAAGTTTCAACCCCCCTGCTGTGGGCAGGGCAATCACTAGACCAGGATGCCCTGAGCCACATCCAGCCTTGCCTTAAATGCCTCCGAGGATGGGGCATCCACAACCTCTCTGGACAACCTGTTCCAAGTGCATCACCACCCTCTGAGTGAAAAACTTCCTCCTAATATCTAACCTAAACCTCTCATCTCAGTTTAAGACCATTCCCCCTTGTCCTATCACTATCAAGCCTCATAAACAGCTGTTCCCCCCTCCTGTTTATATGCTCCCTTCTTCAAGTACTGGAAGGGAGCAATGAGGTCTCCCCAGAGCCTCTCTTCTCCAAGCTAAACAAACCCAGTTCCCTCAACCTTTTTTCATAGGAGAGGTGCTCCAGCCCTCTGATCATCTTAGTGGTCGTCATCTGGACTCATTCAAAGAGCTCTGCATCTTTCTCATACTTGGGGCTTCGGGCCTGGATGCAGTACTCCAGATGGGGCCTCACAAGAGCTAGGAAGAGGACAGAGTCACCTCCCTCTCCCTGCTGGCCAACCCTGCTTTAATGCAGCCCAGGATATATTTGGCCTTCCAGGCTACAAGTGTACTCCATTGGCTCATGTCCAGCTTTTCATCCACCAGGATCCCCAAGTCCTTCTCTGCAGGGCTGCTCCAAGAAGCTCTTCCTTCAGTCAGTATAAATACCTGGGATTGCCCCAGCCCAAGTTCTACACCTCGTAGTTAGCCTTGTAGAACCTTGTTAAGTTCACATGGGCTCACTTCCCCAGCCTGTTCAGGTCTCCCTGGATGGTTTCCATTCCCTCCAGTGCATTGACCATGCTGCTCAGCTTGGTGTCATCTGCAAACTTGCTGAGGGTGCACTTGATGCCATCATCTATGACACCGATGAAGATGCTG